GATATATCCGAAACCGCAAATTGGTTTTAACCTTTCGAGAGTTTTATGAAGTGCCACAAAACAACAAGCTTGGACCATAAAATTGGTAATTATCGTCAAGAATGCCAACAATAAAAAAGTGAAAGAAGTGCAGTCTTGTTATTATGAAACGAAATTCTTGACAGGCAAAACGACTTAAAGGTTATTTAATATATGTATTTTTTTGAATTCTGGCGTGAAAACGCGTGCACATAAAAAGGAGAGGTACCTACTTTAAATTAAGTAAAAAGGACTTTTAGAGTGTATAAAGTTTAATTTAATGCTGTTGATTGCCTACATAAATTGTAAAGAGAAACAGTGCAAAATGCTTATTACGGTAATTTAAATTTCAAAGAATTGGCGAAATTTTTTGCAGGAATCCAGGTGTCACGGTTAACATTTACTGAAAATAAATATAATGAAATTCAACAAAAGTGATGCCCTCACATGGTTACGATATCAGAATATAAGAAAGTGAACATTATTTATAATTTATTTCTATGACAAATTGAACTGCATCAATTCCAAATAATAAGTCCATCCTTTTTCCTTTGCTTAATATTTACAGTTACTGATACACCTATGGCACGTTCCACATGATAATTATATAAATAAACTTTGTTTCCTTAATTTTCACTCACAATCTACTGAACAAATGGTTAATTAGTCAGGTTTAGTAATTATACTAACTGCATGTATTTAGTAACTGTTCGATTCCAGTCATTAGCAATTAATCTAAAGAACGATTTAAATCAATCCACTCCATAGAATAATTAAGTTCAATTATCCTAATCGATCTAAGATACAAGAAGTAGCCGCTTCATTGTTGAATGCCTGTGTAATTAAAGGGAAGTGGTTCAAAAAGTGTCATTTTTATCTGGAGAAAAACCTAATAAATAATGGACTTAATTTGAGTAGCAAACCATTACATTTTATACGTTGATTCTAAATTACGTGCGGTAGCGAATATTTATAATCAATTGCACTAGTCTACGAACACTTGTACGTTAATAATAAACAACGGAACGATTAAGATTGCCCAGGTGTGCCGTAGGTAATTTATGAAATGTTCCAACATAAAATAGGGCCGACCGCAAAAAAAGATCAGTCGACAACTCGAATAATTGCACGATAAAATGCTTTAAAGATCAATTAATCAGCGAACGGATTATGAAAAAAAGAGAAAAGAAATTCGACCATTACGTAACACAAATAATTACCAAGATAAACTTTGATCGCAAATTGCATTCTCGAAGCACAATAATTTTCATTTCTGCTTCCACTTATTTTACGTATTAACAAGTGCGACAATGCGGGAAAGTCGCAAACAACGTTGAAATATGTGATAAACACAATCGAATATTTCCGCAATGTATTTCTTTTACGACCTGGGCCATGTCTAGAAAATAGTTCGCCCGGAGCAAAGCCCGATTTTCGTCCCCTATTGCCTTATTAACTCCAGGAATCAAAATTAAATTAGAAAAATGAATGTTCCTGACTAGTGCTCCAATAGAACGTGTTTTTTATTCCACGAATAGTTTTTCTGTCGGAGGCCGTCAATATTGATTTGGTTACTATGGTTAATTTTTGATCGATTTTGATGATTATGGACTCGATTCTTATAGATTGTAACATATTTAATAAGAATATGAACCAATAGTACATATCTATTACTTGAAGTAAATAAGTTATGAAAAAAATCATGCTTATATGTTGTTTCGGCGCAAAAGACTATTGCCGATATTTGTAAATATTTTAAACTTATAATCATAACATTTATTTGATCAAGCAGTAGGCATTA